TTAAACATTACGTTCAATACATTTTAGCGTCTCTTTAAATTATACCACAGAGATAGTCCCGACCAGACCACACAAGTAGGTGCAAGTGAGGCGCCATTGCTATTGTGTAGGCGCTACCTGCTGCTTCCGCGGGACTTATCCCTTTAATAATGCCCTCAGTAAAAGTTGTATCAGCAAACCAGGTTGAACCCACAGTAACCTTCATGAAATTGTCTGCTAGCTAAGCATTAACAAAATGAGAAACAATTGTGGTGCTTACGAAATGATGAATAATGTCTCGCTTTCGCATATGGTCTGAACGAACACTTACCTGAACAGTTTTCGCCACTTTCCCCTTCGTCCAGAAGTAACAGCTGCTGGTCGCTTCTAAAAAAAAAAGAAATATTACCTCACTTCAATTGACACACCATGATTTAAAAAAAAATAGAAGGGTTATCATGGTAACACGCAATTCATCATTCATAATTCGGGTAGAAAGAATGATTATTCATTTACATGCGCCCCCTTAACCTGCGCCCTGCTGGGGGGGGGGGGGTGTTTGAACACCCCCCTTATGGTTTTTCGCAAATATCTCAAAAACGGCGCTCGTTTTTTGTACGCCTTATCACACATCAATTCTACACATGTTGTGAAAATTTCAGACCAAGGTCATTCAAGGTCAGGTCACCAGGTCACTTGAAGTGACCTCACCTCATAGTTTCAATGTCTGTCATAGCTACACCGAGTGACCGATCGCTTTGAAACTTTCAGAGATTGCTAAGAGCAATAGCATGTACAAAATGCATATTTCAGAATTTTGATATCGATGACCTAAGGTCAGGTCAATTTTGCGACCTCCCCATTATAAGTCAATGGGAGAAAATTGAAATGCGCCTCTTTTGGACGAAAGACATTATAAACACTCCCAAACACTGAATTACAAGTAATTTATACACACTGAACATGAAAATGGTGTCCATGACCCCTGTTTATGCCCTGAGGTCATCTTAGGTCACGAATGGCATCAACAGTTTTTCGCAAATTACTTTTGATAGAGGCATGCTAGAGCGATAAAAACGCCTTAGATGTGTTCAGCTCGACGATACGGATCAACTGATATGCAACATGACACTTTCCGGTCAGGTCATGACCTTGACCTGATGTCAAATTTTCAAGTTGACCTTTCAAGGTCAAGTTATAGTTCATTCGATGCGTCTTGACGAGAGGAACACGATGTCGGTAAAAGTAAGCTCGTACAAGGCTTGGGTAAAAAATCATTGCAGAAAAACTGTTTCCGAAAAAATCGGCTATTTTGCAGTTTTTGCCCCCTGCATGCAAAACCGTTGACGTTAGGTCAAATCTGAGAGAATTATTCAGAAAGGGCGTTAATAGGGCTATCGAATGCGCTTTTCCGCGGCGCTTTACCTCTATTGGTTCCCGAGTTATGCGTTGGCTTCATGGAAATTGTCGACATTCGACCTGGAAATCGGCGAAATTTTGCCTTCAATGACCTCTGGTGACCTGACCTTTGATTTGACCAAAAAATTGACCGTAGTGATTTCGTCATTATTTTTGGCGCTCTTTCGAACGCCGCCTTCCGCGTATCGCTACGTGGCCCAGGAGCCGAGTTAGAAGGGGAGGGGTGTTCAAACACCCCCCCCCCCCCAGCAGGGCGTGGAAATCCAGGACCCCCAGCCGGGCGCGGGTTAATGTAACTCACTCACTCACTCACTCACTCATTCACTCCCACTAATCCGCGCCGAGCCGGGAAGGGGCGTCTGGACCAGTCTGGACGGCCAACCCGTATTTTTTCTGAGCTGAGCGGAAAATTACCGTGCGTAGCGCCGCCAAACTTTGCCTACGTTTTCGGCCGTTCCTCTCAACAAAAGTTAGTTTTACTATCCTGTGTTAGTTAGTTTGTTAGTGTTGGTTACCCTGTGATGATCTACTCGCATCACCTTGAATTTAAAAATCAATTTTCTGTCCTTCACATACGTCTCGAAAGGGAAGGGAAATAATTAACAGCTCAAAGAACAATGGGTCTTTTATACGCGCAACGAAGGAGAATGATGGTTAACCCTACTTCCCCATTCCCACTTTAATTTAAGGACATATTTCTAACTTTTGAGGCAGTGAAACTGCCTCTCACGATTCACAGGCACGGCAGAAGTAACTCAATACAGAATGGTTCTTTCGAAATAAATATTACTTTATTTATTTGGATATGGAGATTGTTAAATGCAGACACATAAAACAGATTGGATGACCCCACATCTTACCTTGCGTACATTAGTACCAGACAGCATCTTGGACTATCAAAGTGGCCTGAACATCCAAGCTACCTGAAAAGAAAGCCTGCATGTAAGATAGCTAACAAGTCACCTGGAAAGAAAGCCTGTATGGTGAGATTTTTCTGTAAGCATTTATCTTTCTTTAGCCGCTTTTAGTAACTAAGGCAGAAAGAAGACAATCTGTATGGCCAACGGGCATGCAGCAGGTGACTCATAATTTTTGTTGCCACTGCAATTTTCCAACAACGAATTGAATTAAAAGGTCAAGAAAAATAGACTTTCAAACAAGGTATTAACGGTTCCTAGTACAATGCACTCTAGAGCTGGCCTTTACTCCTCACTTGAAAACCTTACATTGTTGACCTTCTCAACAACACACTTAGGTATATAGGTACCATTATATTTTATGAGGCAACTGGCATTATGCCTTCAATCGCTACATTTAAATGGCTGAGATGTGTGCAATTTGCAGTGTTATACACAAATGATGCTAAAAGGTCAGTTGTATGGTTGAGTACGGCATGTTGGGCAACTTAAAAAATAAAAAAAACTGGGCAAAGGACACCGCTGTATACAGTATACACCCTTAAACCATATTCCGGGCGGGCTCTGAAAGGTAAGATTCCGGGCAGGCAGGGCAGGCTTATCAGCCCCCCGTTATTTCTCGAAAACCACGCATCGACGCAGCAAACGGCGTTTGATAGGTCGGTCAAAGAGCTACAACTTTTAAATAAAAATGCGTCAGGTCAATATTGAGGTCACCAGAGGTCATAAAAATAAAATGTTATTGAAATAGTAACCTAAGTATAGTAGATAAAACTTTTGAATAAAGACATAAAATTGACACCATTGTGCTTCTCTTGTCGAGGCGATTCGAAACAAATACTTGATGACCTTCATTAAGGCCAATTTAAAACTTGACCTCTGGTGGGGGAGAGGTCATGACCCAATAGGGGCGGGGTTGATACGTCACGTTGTATAGCAAACGACGCGTGACTTGGCAAGGCAAGCAGTTTGGTGCCACTTACATGTCTTTAGCGCCAATTTATCATGGTTTATTGACAAGCAACTATTGATGACCTCGCACGAACTCAGATGACCTTTTCCTGTCTCTGTCAGTAAATGATACCTGGATCGTCATAGATGATTCAATATGTCAAAATCCTGAAAGACTTGAGTGGTTTTGACTCGTTTCCACAAAGCGGTGCGCATTTCAAATTTATCCATAGGCTTGTAATGTAAAGATAATGAATCTGACCTGACCTTACCTCAGGTCATAGATATACAAATTCTGAGATATACAAAATGGACATAACGGTAGGTCATTGGGGGACCCACCCATAAGTTAAGGTCATAAGGCCAAAGTGGGTCTTAATTTCATTAAAGGTGACCCATAAGATAACAAAATGCTAAAACTGAGCTGAAAACCATTTGGGATTGAGAGACTCTTCAAGCTTTGGCCTATTGACAATACACTAAGAGGTCATGACCATAAAATGTCTTTGAATGACCTAGTTAGGCGCGGGAACCGGGGGGGCTAGCGGGGGCTGAGCCCCTCCAACTTTTCGGCTGGGGGGCTCATTATGTATTTGAGCCCCCCCCCCTCCTCACAGCTGGAGGAATCAAAATCGGAAATCTACCAACATAATTTCATAGATTCATACAGAGGCACAGGAACCGGGGGAGGGGGCAGTGAGGGAAGCTTGCCCCCACAACTCTGGGGCCGTGGGAGCAGTGCCCCACAACTTTTCATGAGACCAGGAACTATTAGGGCAGCTTGTCCTCCCCAAATTAGGGGTAAAGTTAGAAGGGCTCAGCCCCCGCTAGCCCCCGGTTCCCGCGCCCGGCGCCACTGCCCAAAACCTACACTTATAAACATGGTGTTTTCCCCTAAACTGGATTCAGATTGGGATCCTGAACACAAGTACATACTTCAAACAGGTTAGTGCACAATGTAGGGCAGCCCTGCATTTTGTTGAATTGATCCGGAGCCAGAGTACCTACATCATTAATTGACCCCGAGGCCTGAGATCTTGTAAAGAAATAGCAAGTAGCGGCTAGCCACATTTCAAGGGTAGTCGTAAAGCAGGCGTAACACTTCTTTTAGCAACCAAGGAGAGGTGCTGTAGGTTAGGTTGTAGGTTGTAGGTTTTAGGTGGTAGGTTTTAGGTTTTAGGTTGTAGGTTTTAGGTTGTAGGTTTTAGGTTGTAGGTTTTAGGTTGTAGGTTGTACTGGTTAGGTCAGGTTTGGTTAGGTTTGGTTAGGTCTATTTTGGTTTGGTTTGATTAGAAAGCATCTCTGGGTATAGTGACCATCCGGCCCCGCTCCTTGGTTGCAAAAAGAAGTTGAAGTGTGACGCCTGCAAGTCCGGCCCAAACAATCGCATGGCAAATCGGTACTCTGCAATACCAGTATCCAACAAATAGATGTCTACAAATAATTTCCACTTACCTCACAGACTTCAAAAAGCTCCCAGCACAAAAAAAAACACAAATTAGTACCACCCAAAGCTTTATCTCTTCCAAATCCCAACACTGACACCGCCACGTGGTGAGCCGTGCCGCGCCGATAACACCGCAACAAAAAACAGTGTTGTTGCAACTACACAAAACTTCATCATACTCTAATTCACGGGTTTCTAAGATACATAATATAATTAATTTATTTTTACACTTTTTTAAAAATAAAACAAACGTCTATTTTGATCGCTTCACATTCCACAGACCACACTATAAATCATATCATGTTACGTTTTTGCTGCATGCCCGCGCTAGCCCGCGCTGATCAAGGCGTGCGTTTCCGAGCTTCAACACAGAGCCAGCCGATGGTGGCGCCGTCTGTGGCAGATATTGGAACTACGAACCATCAAATTTTTTAGTTTAGAGATAGATGGCGCCTAAGGTGGACAATTTTTGAGTCCACCGAAACAGACTTGTTCTTTCGGATACGTTTACGTCCAGCTAAAAGGTGTTCTGTGCGTTTATTTTTACGTGGACTTTTTGGGTCCACCAAAACAGAATGTCCACAGTAAATCAGAAAAAAATCTTGAAAAGTCCACCTAAACCAGAATTTGGAAAGCAGATTACCTACTTTTGGCATCGTGCCACGTCACCACGTGTGGCGCCATGCCGTGCTGTCGTTATGAGAGAGCCTCCCAAAAAAGACAAACGAAATTCACAGCTCACGTTTTGGTAATATTGTTTTATTACGTCCTTATCGTTTGACCAATGAAAAATCTTAATTTGATTAAAACCGTAATGATTCCAAAAGATTCCCCGTAATAGGCCCTTCAAACTAATGACGTAAGATATTGTGATTCTTTTGAAAAGTGAATAAAATAAAGATGCGAGACGCACACTTACTTTCAGCAGTTACGTTTACGTCATAAAATTCATCGCTACAAAGATGATATTCACAAACAATCGTATCGTAAAATTATGTGAGGCAGAAAAAATGAACATTCTTTTCTAAAAAACTTTAGACTTTTGAATTTCCAGTTTGATTTTTATTTATTTTCATTATACTCGAAGGTAGAACACTTAGCTCATTTGTTATTTGAAATGACGTCACGAGTTCTATTTAGATACTGAATAATCATTTTACGGTAAATATCCAAGGCCATTCCAATTGATATTTCGCTTCCGATCGCTTCCGCAGGCTGTTGAATATTGTTATACTTTTGTTTATATCTCAGTTCATTTTATCAAATCAAAATATTTCTTTCAATGGATTGAAATACCTTTACCTAACCAAGCCACATGTGTCAGTATCATCTTTTATTGTTTATCAATCAATTTAATTGTTAATGCAAACTTTTCTGTTGGTATGTGAACAATCTTCATGTCACTCAATTCTCTCAAGTTGTGACCGTCATGAGCCTCCTTTATTTTGTATTCTGTATAATGTAACTGGATGCCTTTACTAATATGGCCTTTGTATAAGATTGTTTGTTTCTAACCATACTTTGGTATTCATAACTTCTTATGAAAGAAAGTTGTTAACATTTTGAGCACCTATGAGCTATGATCCCAATGGATCTCACGACAAAGTTGGGGAGCCAGATCTATGATCCGAGTGGATCTAGCGACAAAATTGAAGGGTCAGATCTATGATCCCAGTAGATCTCTCGACAAAATTGAGGGGTTGGATCTATGATCTGAATGGATCTCGGATCGGGATCCATGGGATCGGATCTCAGATCCATTTTTCCGGATCCAAGCACATGTCTGATGCTCAGTACATTTAGTAGTTTTGACAGCCGTCAATGGTTTTGCTTGTGGCTGACAAAGTCCGAGAAACAAAAACAATATGCAAGAGCTGCATGCTTGAAATTGCGAATTGTTATAACGAGCTATGTCTCAATATGAAATATGCGACATTGAACCAATAAACTATATACTAAATACACTTGCCTTTGCTATGAATTTATTCACTGGCTGATCCAAGGGGAGAGGACCTTTATATGTTTAGATGAACACAGTCGCGGCTCTCCTGTTCTTTTTTTCTTTTATTCTTTTTTCATTTTTGTTTTCCCTCTCCTTCAACAGTACTAATCTTCCATCCTTTTATTTTCCTCTTTCTTTTCCTCTTTTCCTCTCCGACCTGTTCCTCCGTCTGGCGCTGCGAGCCAGCCCTTTGCAAACGCCCGCACGCACACGCTCAAATAGGGCAGCCTCCTCGCTGCCTCACGGCAGTGGCATCTCCTATTGACTGGCAGCGGGTCGAGTCAAATAGGACCATTGTCGACAGCTCCAAGATTAATGCTGATCGCTGGCTGGCCGAACCATCCTCGACTATTATGTGCACACCATTCTCTCTCTTTCTCTCTCTCTCTCTCTCTCTCTCTCTCTCTCTCTCTCTCTCTCTCTCTCTCTCTCTCTCTCTCTCTCTCTCTCCTCTCTCTCTCTCTCTGTCACGCTCCGTGTAACCTATATTGGTGAAAGATCTCAAGCGGCATGTCACGTGATGTATAACTGTGTCGCGAGAGATTTAGACCAGAGAAAATCGGGAAGGAGAGGGATGTTGGTTTGGGGAGTTTTTGGAAGAACAGTGTTAGGTGCTTGATAATTGCCGAGTATTGGTAAAAATACATAGAAAACCCGTGACACTGGGGGCTCGTCCGGGATATGAAAGAATGAGTAATTTTGCTGGGTAAGTAACGTAACGCAACCAAACTGAACGATTAGCCGACAAAGATAATTAATATGGATCTTCCTAATTTCGAACGATTGCTGGAAGCAGGACAGAAGCTCGGCTTAGAAGGAGAGAAGTTACAGCAGTTCATTCAAAAGGCAGTAGAAAGAGAAGAGAGGATGCAGGAAAGGGAAGAAGCGAGACGAAGGACAGAGATGGAAGAAGCAAGACGGAGGGAAGAGATGGAGTGGGAACGCGAAAGAGAAGAGCGTGAAAGAGAAGAACGAGAGAGAATGAGAGCACACGAATTGGAGATGAAAAACATCGAGCTGCAGGCTGCACATATAGCGGAAAATCAAAGGCAAGGGGGTGCAGCACCCGAAGTAGTGTCCGTTCCGAAACTACCGACTAGTGGTGTCAATCGGTTACCGAAAATTTCGGTTACCGAAAATATATGCTGACCGATTTGGTAATCGGTCGGTCAGGCCCCCCAAAAATCGGACACTTTCGGTCACCCTGCCAGTGAAACCATTTTCAAAAAGAGAAAAGATTCCATTTTTGCCTAGTTAAAATGAAATTTATTGGGATGATAATTATAGAGTTGCAAAATTTCCCCCAAATGCCAAATGCCACATTTTGGCAACTTCATTAGCCATCCCACCCAGCAGGCAGCAGCCACCCATTGTCCAACCACAACTACAAGCAGGCTGATTTTGACTCAGTTGGCCCCACAAGTACACACAATTTTGAAACTCTATTCCAGTCTAACTGTTAAAATTCACCTGTAATCAAAGCAGTATTGCCTACAAAAATCATTATACAGTCATCAAAAATGCAAGGACAAAAATAACTTGAATTACTGAAATGTGTTTCTGAAGACTGGACAGTTAGCACTTAGCACTTAGCAGTGATCACATTTACATTTCACAGGTGTTCTACTATTCCACATTCTCCTTAAATATTGCAGGTACCAACCAAATGTTTGAAATCTAGATGACCACAACATAAAAACATAGGAATCTTGACAAAAACTACAGATTCGGCCCATGCCCGATTTCTGGAATCTTCCACATTCCAAACACAAGGAAGGATTTCGAAACAGATGCGCCATAACAGAAACTTTAAACCAGCTGATTAAGTTGCTGCAAAAAAAAGTTTTGGATTGTTACATGCTGCCTCGTGAATTATTTTATTGATATAAATGATCCAACACGATATTGAATGCTAATGAAATCAACATTGTGAGCATAATTCACTACAAGAAAATTAATTTCCCTTCAATAATTCGACCAAAAGGGCATATAAACTAGATGCCGGCAGCGCTCTTGCGTTGCCTTGGGCCAGAATTGGAGGAACGGTACTGAGGGCACACACCGGGCCACACCACCGAAACCCAGACTGAGCTTGGACTGAACCTGAAACCAAACGAAACATCCCAAAAATGCTTCGAAGCACGTGAGATTGGTGCGGATATCTTCCTACAGTATGGTATGAATTAACTGCACGTGCATAGTTCATGTCCCAGGCACCCCAGTGCAGTCATTTTCATAACATCATGTAGCGTGTGTCTAGTTCTATCAGTGTACCGACTTTTGTGTCGCTAGATCGACGTTTCCCGGGATCAGAGGATCCCTAGTCAAAACCGTTATCCGCCCCCCGCACGCGCAGCTTGCACCCCTGGGATATTATCTCGCCGGAATGTTACGACTCAATGTATTCTTCTTATGACCTGCAAGTTTTGAACCAGTTAGAGCGGCCGTTTACCCTGCAGGCGTGGCAACGCACGAAGGGGTGCAATCGGCTTGCACGTACCTAGCTCATGCACCACAGAGTTTAGCTCAACCAAATGTGCACTATTTTGGAGGCCTTGCCTGAGACTACCATTGAACCGATTGTGAGGTTGATAGCTCAAAATTTCTTTGAGCCAGAGGACCTCACGTCAAAACGGTTTTCCGCCCCCAGCACGTGCAGCCTGCACCCCTCGCAGACGGTGACCCCCCTGGAAACTGGTTCAAGGTGTTACCGATGTGTCCCGCCAGTGTGGCTTTGTCCGTGACCTCGGGTTGACCTGTAGCCTTGACAAAAAATTTCGTGTCACCGAAACTTTGAAGCGGAATAGCATGTGCCACGAAGCACTGAGCGAACCGAGGCCAGTACCAAAAGTTTACCTCGCCGGAGACGAGTCGAACGGTCCCACTTTCGTCCCGATCGGTCCACCCATTTTGACTCCAGGTCCAAAAAGGCTTGGACAAACTCACATACTCACTCACATACTCACTCACATACTGACAAACAGGCTTGGCCGAACTTTTCTTCAGCGACCCACCAATGGGAATTTCCGGATGCAAAAGCATGCTATCGCATGCTTTTGATCCTCCAATTCTGGATAAATATTACGTCATCATCATACATCCTTTCGTTAGGGAAGAGAGGATCTTATTAAAAGTCAATCCTTGGTTCTTCTATTACTTTTTGCGCCACTTTAGCGCCACTTTGTAGGTATTTATTTTGTCTGCATATTTTGTTTTCTTGTAAAGATAAGACAAACAAGAGATAAGACAAAGTGCCTGTTAAATGAATTTTCATTTCATTTTTGGGACAAAATTCAAGCTCAGAGCTACCTAATACCTGCCTTTTCAGCTGGATTTTCAGTGTCAAATTCTTTGCAGAGTATCTCAGACCACATCTCAAGACTCAAGGCAAGTTTCCAAGCAGTTTTGATGTGTTTTGTGGTGTTTTGATTCCACCTTTTCTCCTAGGGAATGTTGTCATGAACATACCTATTACCAACCATTTGACTTACCTACTAATTGATCGTGCTTTTGCATTATGAATGAACATTCTTCCTTACATAGACCACAGTAGATTCTTGACAATTCTAATTAAGCAAATCTGTGAAATGCTGAGGTCCATGTGTTAGTACACTCAGCAATG